GGAATGGCTGTAACAAAGAAGAGTTTATTCTCTCAGTTTTGGAGGCTAGCAGTCTGAGTTCAAAAGGCCAGGCTCTAGGGGCTGAGTAAAAGTCCCTCGACCTTGGGTTTCAGCTCTGCTTCTTGCTCCCAGCTCACTGGAGCCGGAGGCTTTCTTCACTCAGGCAGCTGCTAGCAGCTGAGGCCAACAAGCCCAAGATTGACAAGTAAAAAGGCACAGTCTCGATATTACCAAACTATATGGCAGGCCACTGAGTGAAGTCCGTTAACAGTCCCACAAGATCAGCAGACAACATGGAAGGCTGCTGAATAAAGACTCAGCTACATGCAAGATTCTAGCATGCCATAAACTACAGATCATTCCTAAAGCTTCTCCTTACATACTGGGAGCAGACCACAATCCTAAGGTAGCTAGCTACTCAGCTGCTCATAGTAGATTGCACCATGGAGTTGATTACCAGCCTCATCATGGGGAATACTACAACCAGCTGCTCATCCACTCAAAATAAGCCCAGTCAAGTTGACACATAACCTTAATTACCACAGGGGAGGAGAGTTTTTTTATTTTGGGGGATGGTAATTGGGATTGTGAAATCAAATGTGCATGAACTGTTGAATGTAAAACAAATCTGCTTTGACAATTTGCACCCAAAACACAATAAAAAAGAAAAGAAAAATTACCCTTTTTCTAAATGAGGTTGTATGTGTCCTGACCTGGGGCCATCACAGCAGTTGACACCCACCACAGGAGCTTTGGAGGACACACATGTTTTGCTCCCCTCTCCCTTTGTTCTGATGACTTTCCAAGTCACTGTCCTCCAGGCCCCATTCTGAGGGACTGTGCCCTTATGGCTGCTGACCAAAAGGTTGAAAGTCCAAACCCACCCAGCAGCTCTACAGGAGCCCAACCTGGTGATCTGTTTCTGTAAAGATTACAGACAAGAAAATCCTCTAGGGCAGTTCAACTCTATGTTCTACATGGTGTCACTATGAGTCAGAATCATGAAGGCACATAACAACAAGATTTCTGGGGCTGCAAGTTTCTATCTCTGCCCTGATAAGACTGTATTGCATCTGCCCCGGGGATTAATCACCCATCTAGGGTGGTGAAGAAGATGACTGTTATTATTACTAGTGGTTATCAGGCCCTCACCTAATCAAGCTAAATCTGTTAATGCAAGATGGATGTTTTCCTATTTATGTATATTCGAAAGAAAAGCATACAAATAGTTTTTCTAGAAACATAGGTGCCACAAAGATTATAGCTAATTATATCATTATTATTGTGATGTCAGATTTCAATTTGAGTTGTACATCTTTATTTGGGATGAATCCCAGTAGTATCTTTCTTGACCAATCTCAATGGCTTCCAGAGCCTACTCATTTATAATAGGACCTTGAATCTACATAGTATCTAAGCAGTTAACAACAGCAAATTATATACACACTAACCATCTATAGGAAGGAAGGTGGAGCAATCCTACTTCTGTAGTGGTACTGCCTCAGAAACCCAAGGAGGGGTCGCTATGAGTCAGGGCCGACTCGATGGCAAATAACAACAACAACAACAACAACCATCTATAGGCACTTTACATACACACACACACTGCCGTCGAATCGGCCCTGACTCATAGCGACCCCTCCTTGGGCTTCCGAGGTGTTATCACTACGGAAGTAGATTGCCCAACCTTCATTCCGGGGAGTAGCTGGTGGGTTTGAACTTCCAGCCTTCTGATTAGCAGTCAAATGCCTTAGGCACTATGCCACCAGAGCTCCCATGGGCACTTTAAGAATGGCAAAATTAAGTCATAGATATACTCTTCAATGCAGTTTAAAGGATTGGAAAATACTGCCTGATAATAAAGAAATAGTGTGCGGGCTGATTTTTAAGAACATCAAGAAAGAACAGACAATTATCACTAGAAAATTGTGTTCCTTACAACCATTTTTTTTTTTAACCATAATGTTGCATCTGGTATATGACAATATTACGTTTAATTTATCTGTTAATTAAACAACAATCATGTTGTTTTAGCCAGGAGAGAACAATAAGGTTCTTTTCTCACAAGATTTTTGTTTCTAACATGGCAAAAAAAAAAAAAAAAAAAGACTATGAAACGTTGCTATAGATGAGAGTGTGTTTCCAGGAAGCAGACAGGAAGGAGACCTGAAGGGTATAATGTCAAATCCAGAAAAGTTAAAAGGATCCTAAACAGGCAGATCTGTGGAAAGGAACAACACATTGAGTTAATCTGTGCTGTAAAATTCTGCATGACTCCCAGGGGAAAAGCCCTTGAGCTTGTCATATCATTGTTGAGAAATTGTGCACATGTGACAGGCTGTCAGATTTTTTGTCTTCAGGAAAGAATGGGATTACTAAATCTGGATAGCATGCCATATTCTTATTCTTCATCCATTTTCTTTCTAAATTAATAAAAGGCATTAATAATAAATACAGTTCATTCACATTGGACATTGTGAATGACAGTCCTTGTTGTTACTTTATTTTCACAATTCAGACAACGAAGATTAAAGTGATTTAATTTGAAATTAACTACTTCCTGGGTAAGATTGGCATTCATATATATCTTCAAAATGTATTTGGAATTCAACCACCTCTATTCTCCTCCACTGCTATCACCCAGGTCCAAACCTCAGTCCTGCCTCACCTGGCTTATTTTAATAGGCTCCCAGAACATCCCTTAACCATCTTGACCCAGCAGCCAGAGTGCTCCTATTAAAACCAAAGTGGATCAGGCTATTCACTCTCTCACTTAGAATTCTCTAGTGGCTCAGAGGATGTTATATCCTTTCTGGAAGCACATTCTAGTCCAAAACAGAGTTTATGTGGCACTAAGTATAAAAGTTTGAAATAATCCAATGACCCACGAGCCTTCATAATCTGGTCCTTCATCTTGTTATTTCTCTGACTTCTCTCCTATGCTTTTCTCTTTCACTCATTACTCCAGACAATCCTGCCTCTGCTTTTCCTCAAATATTCCAGGTGCTCCCACCTCAGGGCAGTTGTACTTTTTGCTCCATCATAGTAATATCTGAAACTATCACCATGATTTCTTCCCTCATTACTTCAGGTCTTTCCCCATGCTTATCATTAAGGTCTTCCATACCCACACAACTAAAGTTGCATCCTTCCCAATCTTCCCTATTTTTTTTTTTTTGTTTTGTTTTTCCTACATAGCACTTGTTACCATTTCACAAATCTTGTTCTTTCCTAAAGGAGCTCTGGTGGCCTAGTGCCTAAGGTATTGACTGCCTCCAGAAGCTTGGCAGTTCAAACCCACCAGCTACTCCACAAAGGAAAAGTGGGCAATCTACTTCTGTAAAGATTTACTGCCTGGGAAACCCAAAGGGGGTTGCTATGAGTAGGAATAGAATCGATGGCAGTGAGTTTGGTTTGGTTTTGGTTTATACTTTCCTTGAAGAGCCCTGATGGCACAGTTGTTAAAAGCGCTTGGCTGCTAACCAAAAGGTGGGAGGTTTGAACCCACCAGCAGCTTCACGGGAGAAAGATGTATCAATCTGCTTCCATAAAGATCTACAGCCTTGGGGCACTTTTACTCTGCCCTAATGGGTCGCTATGAATCAGAATCAACTCCATGGTAATTGGTACACTTTCCTTATTTTATTGTCTGTAACTCCCTCTCCTAGGATCTCTGGTGGTACAATGCCTAAGGCATTTGACTGCTATCCAGAAGGTTGATGGTTCAAACTGACCAGTTGTTTCATGGAAGGAAGATGGGGCTTCCTTCCCAGATGGGAAGGAAGAAGTCTGCTTCTGTAAAGATTTGCTGCCTCAGAAACACTCAACTGGGGTGTGGGGGAGGATTGCTATGAGTGGGAATCGACTCCATAGCAGTGAGTTTGCTTTTTGGTTATGGTAGCTTCTACCCCACAACCCTAGTATAACCTTTAGGAGGGTAGGGTTTTTGTTTTGTTTTTAGCTTTATCCCAGAACCTGTAGTAGTGTTAGCCCATAAATGTTCAAAAAATGTGGTGAATGAAAGAATAATACAGACAGTTCCCAAGCAGTACAAGAGTTACCTAAATTTATCTCCATATACCACAACACAATATATAAATCACATTTCTAACTATACAGAAGTCACAGCTAGTATTTATTAAATATGTATCTAAAGTTCTTAGCCAAGATTCCAGAACACATTAAGGATTCTTCAGATATTTGCTTACTACAAAAATGCAAGCTCTATGAGAGCAGAATTCCTGTCTTTCTTACTCATCACTGCATTTTGGGTACTGAGACAATGTCTGGCACATGGTAGGTGATCCTACCATGATCCAAAATTCTTGTTGGATGAATGAATAATCAGTATATCTCGACCTAATCATTATCTTATTATTTAATGATTTGTTTATTTAACTCTTAATTGGGCACGTTTAGTGAATCATAGGGGTGTTCAGTAATAACTTTTCCTTAAGCTAAAGATTTAAACATAACCATAATTTACCATAATATTTTACCCAAGATCCACTGAAATTTTGCTACCAAAGTCTCTGGAAAACAACACTAATTTATCTTGTCCATGTGTGTCACTAGTATGTTGATTAAAGTAATGTTAGGTGGAAAAAAATCTATTTTTTGCAATGTGTAATTATTTTGTGAATGTCTATGTGTGCTAAGGGGAATGGTCAGAGTGAAGAGAGCAAGATAAACAAACTCTTCAATAACTATGAATTTCAATGGTGGAGGACTATTTACTTCACAAAACTAAAGATAAAACAGTCTAACAGTCCCCTTCTGAAAATGGCAGATGTGAAAAATCTCAGTAAAGACATAAAATAGGATGACAGAGGGCTCTTTACTAGACACATTTTCTTGGCCTGCACCAAACAAGCTGAAACAAGAGAGCATCTATTTTCTTATTGAGGAAGTATGGAAGGATGTATCTCATTAAGGAAAAATAAAACATCTTTATGGATGAATAGAATATAAATTGAATAAAGAAGGTCTTGCAAACTTACCCATCATTGTTAACATCTGATACTGCAATAGTATATCCAAAATATGATGCCATCTGCAAGTAAAAATCGTAAGGTGACATATTTTATGTTCACAAAATCATTTTTATAGAATCACCTTTCTCAATTACTTCTGAAAAATTAATCTCATGATAGTACATTTTTCCTTTGAGATTTATATACTTGGACTTGAATAGAGTCTTCAAGTCATTTATTCCAACCCCTGACCCAATGCATAATTTTCTCCAAAATATCCCTGACATCTGCTTGGACATCCTCTAGACATGTTCAACAATCAGCCCATTCAATTTCTGGATACAACTATTAGAATACTCTTTTGTGAAATTTGACCCTTCTATAAATCTAGCCTTTAATCCCACCTATTTCTGCAAATTTGAACCTCACAGAATAAATCTAACTCCACTTCCATACAAAGTGTCACATAAAAATATTTTTAGTTGGTTCACCATCCTGGTGTCTCTTTCTTAGAGATACTACATGTGTTAACAAAGAACAGATAATACCAGAGGTAGATTGACAAAAACAAAACAAACAAACAACACAAAAAACAAACTCACTGCTGTCGAGTCGATTCTGACTCTTAGCAACCCCTCCTTGGGTTTTCGAGGCAGTATCTCTATGGAAGTAGATTGCCCAACCTTCCTTCTGAGTGGCTGGTGGGTTTGAACCACCAGCCATTTGGTTAGCAGTCAAATGCCTTAGGCACTACACTACCAGAGCTCCTCCTGGGGTGACAATAGCAGAGTTAAATGACACTTACACTCTCTTATTTGGGACACTTTATTTATACTATTAAAACATAAAAATTAAATTAAATTAAATTAAAAAAAATTAAATTATGGAGGGACCTACTTCTCAGTATCACTTCATATTGCACTAATAGTCAACTAAAACTCTTAAATCTTTCCCATGACTGTAGCTAGAACAACATAATATCCCTAAATTCTATCATAGAAGTGTTTGGTTTTTTAAGGTATGTTTTCAGGATTTATAATCATTTGAGATTTGGCCCATAGTTTTAGCTTGCCAAGATTTATTGCTTCCATATTCTGCCATCCAATGCTTTAGCTCACTCAGTCTCCCAGCATCTACTAATTGGATGATGGGATCAGCCTATGAGCCACTAGAAATTATGCTCCATGGAAGGCAGGAATTTTTGTCTGTTTTGTTCACTTTTCTATTTGCCTTGCCTAACAGTTATAAGATTGTTATAAAATCCAACTTCACTTTCATCACAGCCTTATTCCTCTATGTTTTCCAAAAAACGTATCATGGGAGGTATTGTTAAATGCTTTATAGAAAACTACAGAGTAATAAGTAGACTAGAGCACCAAATTTTGGGGAAAGAAATGTAAAAACTATTCGTACCCACCAGCCAGTCCTCGGAAGGAAGATTTGGCAAACTACTTCCATAGAGATACTGCCTCAGAAATCTGAGGAGGGGTTGCTTTGAGTCAAATCAATTCAATAGCAGTGAGTTTAGTTTTTTATTCATTTTAAAACCCTAGTAATCAAAGTTTCTTGACAAATATATTACTTCAAATTTATCTATAGCTAAGAGTTCAGTACCTGAGGATCTTAAATAATGATCTGGAAGGCCAAGTTGGAACTTGGCCAGGTTCAAACGTGAGGATTGCTGGAAGCTGGGTAACATAAGTTGATGGTGAATGGAGAAAATTGGCTAATCCTTAGAGAATCTATGAGCATCCAGGCCAGCTGAAAACCTTTAGACACTGATGGCATATTTTATGTGGCAATTTAGCTAGACTAAAACCCAGCTGTTTGGCCGAACACTAGTCTAGATGTTGCTATGAAGGTATTTACATATTATTAGCATTTAAATCAAAGGAGCTCTGGTAGCACAGTGCCTAAGTGACTGCTAAACAGAAGGTTGGCCATTCAAACCCACCAGCCACTCCTCAGAAGGAAGGTTGGGCAATCTACTTCCGTAGTGATACTGACTCAGAAATCCAAGGAGGGTCCAACTCAACAGCACATAACAACAGCATTTAAATCAGTTGACCTTAGGTTAAATGAGTGGGTGGGACTCATCCTATTTGTTGAAGATCTGTGGCATAGTGCATAAGGCATTTGACTGCTAATCAGAAGGCTGGTGGATCAAACCCACCAGCCACTCCTCAGATGGAAGACTGGGTAATCTATTTCTGTAGAGATACTGCCTTGGAAACCCGAGGAGGGGTTGCTATGAGTTTGAGTTTCTTTTTTCTTGTGTTTTTTATTTTATTTTATTTTTTTTTGGCTAAGAGTAAGAACTGAGGTTTCCTGAAGAAGGATTCTGTTTCAAGACTATAAACAGATAAGCTTGCTGGAGTTTCTGGCTTGTCGCCTGACCTATAGATTTTGGACTTACCAGCACTAATAATCACGTGAGCCAATTCGTCTAAATAAATAAATAAATAATTTCTAGTTCTATTTTTCTAGAGAACCCTTTCTAAGACTGACACCAACTACATGTTCTAGTCCTTCCCTTCTTGGAATTCTTTCTTTATACAGACCTAACAGGACACTCAGAGAAGAGAGGAAACTCTCACCTACATTTCTTGACATTTCAGCCTCTTTCCTGAATTGTGATGTTCTTAAAAATGTGTTTTAGGGGTTCCAGTAAGATGGCGGACTAGGCAGACAAACTACACAAATCCTCTTCAACAAAGAAAAGAGGAACCAATTAACACAGATACAGAAAATAATCCCAGAGCCCTGAGTTTTGAAATGAAGGATACAGAAGTGGACTAAACTCCAACTGGCAGAAGAACCTGCATGAAAACACCAAAAAAGGAGACATACGGAGCTGCAGTCTGTCAGTGATCCTGACAGGACAGACAGCTTGGATATTGCCAAGTGGTGCTAGTACCTAAGAATTAACCTAAAAATAGGCCCAGATAGCCAGGGGCTGCACAGGGGACTGCACTGGTACCTGGTAAACAAAAGGGGAAGCAGTGAAGAGGGAGACAGGCTGAGCCATGGACTTTTGGCTGTCCAGTGGGTGCAGCCATTTTGAATGTTTAAAAGCAATTTGACCATTTTGTATATTTAGAACAACAGTGTTCTCTCAGATTCCAGGGATCTAGGAATAGGTTCTACTTGCTGGGGACCACAAGGACATTCCAAACACTGAGGACTAGAAAATTAACATAGACCTGTGCAGCCACTCTCATTCTCTATCACACCCACCAGGAGTCAGGTGGTGAGTGCATAAGTGCTGCCAACTAGCAAATAGAGGAGCACAGTATGCTGCTTACTCAGATAAATCCAAAAACAAAGAAAACAAAAAATATTCAGTGAATCACTCCAATATACAATCACCAATTAAATATAAATACAACAAAGTCATAATGTCTCAGAGACAACAGACCATCACAGTCCACAAAGAAGCAAGATAAAGCAGTAGAAACAAGGGAACAGGATACAGACCCACATCACATTCCTAAGGAAGAAGCAGCATTGGAACTCCCTGACAAGGAATTCAAAAGAACTATATTTAGGTACCTTCAATGAATTGAGAGACAAATCAAGAAAAACACTGACAAAATTAAGGAAAACACAGACAAAAGCCTAGAACAATTTCAGAAGAAAATACAAGAACAGAATGACAAAATAAATGAAAAATTAGAAATGATTCTAATTCTACAGATAGAAATCCAGAATACTAAATTTTCAGAAATAGATAACACATTGAAAGGGCAAAGGAGTAGAGTCTAATCAACAGAAGACAGAATTAATGAGATTGAAAACAAACACTTGAATACTTGTTTGGAAAGGGATCAATCAGAAAAAGATCAAAACAAAATGAAGAAAGTCTAAGATTCACATGTGATACCATCAAAAGGAATAATCTACATGTGATTGGAATTCCAGAACAGGAAGAGAAAAAGAAAACCACTGAGAAAATTGTCCAAGATTTGTTGGAAGAGAACTTCTCTGGTATGATGAAAGATCCATTCAGGAAGTCCAATGAACCCCAAACACGATAGACCCCAAAAGAAGATCACCAACACATATCATCATCAAACTCAGCAAAATCAAAGACAAAGAAAGAATCTTAAAAGGAGCATGGGAAAAGTGAAAAGTTACCTACAAACGGCATCTAATAAGACTAAGCTCTGATTTCTCAGCAGAAATCATGCAGGTGACAAGGCAGTGGGATGGTATATATAAAATCCTGAAAAAGAAACATTTCCAACCAAGAGTTACATACCCAGCAAAATTGTTCCTCAAATATGATGATGAAATTAGGAGATTTCCAGATAAGGGGAAATTAAGGCTATTTGTTAAAACCAGACCAACCTTACAAGAGATACTAAAGGGAGTCCTTTGGACAGAGAACCAATAATAGAAATCAACAACTGACTATGAATACACATGATGACAGAACCCAGAAACCAACCTACTTATGGAAGTATCCAAAGTAAAATAAGCTCACAAGATTGTAAACAGGGAACCAGAGACATCAATTGGCATATGAGGACAACTACAAGCCAAAAAGATGGAAAAAATACCGGAGTTACAGAAGGTCTAAATGGTGAGGAAGTCAAGACAGTTGGAAGATAGAATGGATTGTTCTAAACTCAGGGAGAAAATTATAAATCAGAGGGTAACCACAAAGAAAAATGATAAATCTTCACATCACAATAAAAAAGGTGACAAGCACAAATATTTAGCAGATACTAAAACAACAGCGGCCTAGTGCCTCAGGCACTTGATTGCTAACCAGAAGGCTGGTGGTTCAAACTGACCAGCCACTTTGCACAACGAAGCAAATCTTCTTCCAATCTACTTCCATAGACATACTGCCTCAGAAACCCAAGGAGAGGTTGCTATGAATCAGGACTGACTTGATGGCAGTGAGTGAATTTGAGAAAACAACAACAGCAATAAAGGAAATGACAACATGATTCATAAACAAAATAAGCTCAGCACAGAAAATTATATGGAACAAAAAACCCAACAACACCACAAGAAAACACATAACAAAATGACAACAACAAATTCATACTTGTTGATAATTGCACTGAAT